AGTGTCTCTAATAAATAGACTGAGGTGTCATGGGAAATCATTATTTCACCATATTATGCTGGAAAATGCTTGAGAACAGGCAAATCAAGCAAGTAAAGGCTGTAAATCTCTACATAAATTTCATAAAGTAGAATGTAAATGGGAAGTCGATCTATTTAAAATGTTTGGTGATATGAGCTATTGGATAAACAAACCAAAATAGTGACTTGAATTATGGCCAATAAAATCTTATCGCCAATTTAATCGGCTGTTGACACTTGGAGGGTTAAAGAAAAACTTGTTTCTTCAATATCACTTATGACGACATCTACATTATTGAATGTGGTTAGTTAACTAAAGGGGATGACATTTCTTATACACAAATATTTAAGAACTGTTTCAGACAAAGAAAACAAAATGTATAGCTCTCAGAGTAATTGTGACATGTATATTATTGTTATGAGTAGGTCGATAATAATTTTTTTTTTAGAGTAGATTATCTGACAGAGCACTTATTATGGTCCAGGAGTTGTAATCACTATTATTGATGTTTGTTACATGACAAGACAGATTTTTTTTTCTTAATTAAAGAATTCAAGTGCAGGAATGTTTCACTTAAGCCCTTGAGATATCTGACAAAAGGACTAATTTTATGTCAATGTTTGAGAAAAAAAGAGACTGGAAAATATATATATATAAACCCTTCTTATTAAACCCCCTTTTTCCATTCTTTTCCCCTGTGTAGTTGGATAATTGTGTCTTTTCTGTCGGTTCTTTCAGGGTGTACCTGGAAGGGAAAGAGATGACAAAGCTTAAAATCCGTGGATTTGTCACTGAACGGGCACTTGAGCTTCTGTCATACACTGGTGACAATTCCAAAGTCCAGTGCATCCGATTTGGTAACACCTACTATGGCACGGACCGCACTGAGTGTGCTATGCTCTACAACAATGGGCCAGAACCTGTCAACTTTGTGGCTGTAGTGGATGAGGATGCCATAGCTCAGGAATTGGTAAGTGACAACTGGAAATTACTGTGACCATGCTGACGTGATGGATGTACGTCTGTATAGACAGGGTGCTGAGTGAGAAACGCAACAGATGTTGACTTATGGGGGCCATTCATCAGACAGTGATTTATCAACGGTTTGAATCTCATCCAAACACAGTCAAGATTATATAATTTTTGCAGTGTGTTTTGTAAACTTAACTAAACATGTTGTTTTCACATTGTAAAATAACTTCCAAAAACAATCTTAGTTTTACTTTTCCACAAAAATCTTTACAGGTGCTGATATCTTTCAACAAAGTTGACCCTTTTTGCTTTTTGCCTCTGCATTGCAATCAGAATTTAAAAAAAAAACTGAAATCAGTCTCTGCTGTCAAAATACAGTATATCCACCTGTGATACCATAAGTGTCACCAGGGTTATTAAAACATTTTCTTATGTGTAATATTTATTTATCGGCTTAGAGAGATTTTAAAAACTTGTTTACTTACAGAATTGGAAAAATATTAAAGCCAGATTTTTCCTGTGTACTATACAATGTAACCTACCATTCTTATGTGAAACAAAACCCCCTTGGACTAATGCTACTTACTGAAATTACTTTTGTTTATCTAGCTAATTACGGAATAAGAGATGAGGGATCTTTTCTTCAAATACTCTTTTACTTATAATGCACTGTGCATGCATGGGTCTATTTCTTGACTTCTTGATATAACTCAGTGTTTTGATTCATTTCCCCATTCACTTCTGTACAGTGCAAATGTCAAAGAATATTCAATGTTTGTTGTTCATGCGAAGGGGTAAAATCTACTTTGGGTTTGTTAAATTCAAAGCAATGAATTTTATATTGGCAGTAAGAAATGTTCAGTCTACATGAACAGTTTTCAAACAATTTTGATCTAATAGTTTTTATGTGAAGAGTGTGCATGACTAAATGTTATTTTCATCAGTTTTGATTTGTCCTCTACTTATCCCTTTTTCTGCACGATATATTGAATCGATATTATTTGTTAGCATTTCACCTTAATATTATCCTTTTGTTTGACGATCATGTTGATAATGTTATGCATGATGACCATGAAATTGATTTCTTAAAATTTTTTTTTACGTGCAATAAGAAAAAGAAAACTCTTCTGATTTAAATGAACGTTGACAAAAAAAGTCAGCCCTCAATTCTTGTGCCTTTTATAGTACATACTCCCTCTGATTTTATTGTCGACCCTGCTGATGGACCTCGACAGTGGTTTTCGGAAAAAAAAGCTGACGTATTTTTCCAGTTGAATGGTTATAGTGTAACACTGTTGATATGTACTTCACACCTGTAAGTGAAACCATATACCTGGTTTTTCTTTGCCAGATATTCCCTTTTAAAAATTAAGTGTACCACCAATTAAAAAGTGATGGGAGTGCATTTTACAGGTGGGGCTTCTTATGAGGGGAATAAAGACTTAAAAGGATGAAATAGTTACAGTGTCAATGCCTTGTATTATGTAGGTTTCGGTTGACTGATGTGGTTGTGTTATAAATATCTTCGATACACAGTTTAGATATTGTTAGATGCTGGCCACTTTGACCTGGCCTTTCAAGGCCAACGTAGGCTGTGTGGGCACATCTCAGTGGACAGAGATAGCTGACAAAATGTTTCCTCCCAAGAGAGAATCAAACTCACATCTTTTGCATCGGAGAAGAGGAACCTGACCAATTTACCACATGTACTGGTGCAGATGTTTTCAATGATTCTTAAAGGGAGCTGGGGAGTATCATCTTTATGTTGGGACCAATGAATTCTCAAACTTAATAGTTTTGCCTTTTTGTGTCTCCACAGGGCATTGATCTCACCCAGACCACTACCGCTGCTTTGGCTGAAGAGGGGGAGGACAAGAGCCGCCGGGGCCATACAAATGAGATCACCTCGCTCATCACGGCCATCCCAAACCAGGGGATTCTCAAACCCTACCAGAAAGTTCCTATCTTCTTCAGATTCAGCCCAAGGTACAGTGAGTTATGAAATGTGAAATGTTTCATTAAATAAGTTCTTTAGTTTTGTGACTTGAAAGACTTGAGAGGCAAAAATTTCATCATTATATTTTGTCATGTTTTGTGCTAAGCCTTTAGGCATTCCATCTTGCATTTGTTTTAGATAAGATGGAGGCAAAACATTTTTGTTGATACATTTTGAAAATAAAATAATTGTATAGCTATATTTTTCTATGAAAAAGAGATTGAATTGAAAACTTTAGGCTGAGAGGTCTGCCTTTGAATTGAGTTGTCTTACATCTGAGAGGGTGTTAAACACTAAAAATATCTCTTTCCATGTTCTTATTGACTCTTTCCTGTTCCAGATGGCATGCATCTCGTCAAGGATGGAAGAGCCAGGTGTGTCCCCCACCCAGAAAGGATTTTGCCCTTTTTATGAGGCTTCAGATCATTGGCTCCAGCAATGGCTTCATCAGTGACCATGAAAATGCATTGAAAGGAAATAAAAGCAATGTGGAAGGTAAGTGGATGGGAGGCAGAAGAAGAACAAGGAATCTATTGTTTCAATTTCCCACCTTTTGTAGAAATATGAAAACTACAGTAAAGAATGTTTTTGATATTGTGATAGAAACTATGATTTTTTGTAATGATATCAATGTCATTTTTTATGTTGGTTTCAATGGTGAAACAAACTGCTAGGTCAGCCAGAAAGGTAATCATGATATTATCATATTTCAGTTTTGATTGGTGAAACCATCAACATCTCTCCCCTCCCCCTCCACTCAATACTGGGTTATTAAAATCTTATAAAGAAGAGATATTGGGGATTTGGGACACTGCAAGCTGGAGTTTAGGGTAAGAAGACTTTTCTACGCGTTTATGTGTGTCCCGGTTTTATCTTAGATAGAAAGTTATTGCAATGTTTTAGAGCATATTGGATTACTCTCTGCTCTACCCCCCCCCCTCCCCCGGGGCGCTGCTACTGACTGAATTGTCTTTACTCCATTCCCAAAGGGGGGACATTAACATGTTCTTATGCACTGTGGAATTGTGAATAGGCTGATTCATCAATATCATGCTCATAACTGTGCCTGAAATGCAACAGGGAACTGCTGCTTTTTCTTTCCTAATCCTTACTATCATCTTTTTTCCTCTGCTTCCCTTTTATGTTCGTCACACTCATGTGACCCGCTATTTCCAGAGTGCCTTGATAGTCAAAGCAGACTTTGTGCTTTTGAAGCTAGAGAGGTGAGCTGAGTAAGCCTGATTCCCAGTAAGGACTTCTCTGTTGACATCCACCCCTTGGCGCTCATATGACCTTATGCTGCTGCGTGCGCCGTAAAACCTCTACAAAAAAAAAAAATCTCTACTCTGATTTTTCTCCCCAGGTGTTTATGCAGAGGTTGCTTTAACGGGCACTGCTCTTCCTATCCTCTTGAACATTTCCCCTGCTGCCAAATTTGACTTTGGCGAGTGTCCAGTCGGGGAGCATGCAGACATTCTGTGTACCATCAAGAATGAATCCAACATTCTGCCCGCCCTGTTTGAGTTCCGCAGGATTGCCCACTTCACTGCTCACCCACCCAATGGGAAAATTCTGCCAGGGCAGACCCAAGATGTGATCTTTTCCTTTGCTCCAAAACAAGCTGGTGAGTCTTTACAGTTGTTTTTTAACCCTGCTGACGCTCTGAGTGTAATTTATGGGAACATTTTCAACCATGACCCAGGACTCTCAAGAGCAATGAAATTTTACTGACGTGTCCTCGTAAGAACTTTACCATACATGTTGTAACCTCATTTGAAAATAATTTCCAGGAAGAAAATCCCTGTTTACTTCTCAGTATCGCCTTTAATCAACAAAAGTGGTCCCCCTTTGCTCATTGCCATTACTCTGCAAACAATCTTGTACTGTTGTGTGTCTCTGCTGTCAAAGTACAGGATGCCTACTTGGTGACTATCAGATAAGCAGGCTTACAGTTTAAGTCATGTGATTATTCATAACCATGTGTCCTTTGCAGTTGGAGGTTCACATACAGGCTCATAGTAGGACATCCAGCTTTGTTGCTTGTAAAGCAAATAACAGTATCATTCATACATCATTTTTGTTCCTTGTTGCTGAGTCAGATAAACTATCTCCCCCAGGATTCCATGGATACAACTTTTAGACAAGAGAGAGAGGAGGAGGAAGGGAGAGAGAGAGAGAAAGAGAGAGAGGGAGTGGGAGGGAGGAAGAGAGAGAGAAAGAGAGAGTAAGAGGGAGAGGGAGAGAGAGACAGAAGAGAGAGAGTAAGAAAGAGAAAGAGATAGGGAGAGAGAAAGAGAGAGAGAGAAAGATAGAGAGAGAGAAAGAGAGAGAGAGAGAGAGAGAGAGAGAGGAGAGAGAAAGACCGGGAGGGAGGGAGAGAGAGAGAGAAGGACTTGCTTCTTTCTTTTCTCCCACTGAAATACTATTTTGAGTTTTTTTTGGTCTTTCCAGGCTCCTTCAAACCGGAACAACTCTTGGATGTTTTGGGCCAGGTTGCAGACAAACGTAATCCAACGGTCAGCCATGCTCAAGTAATCTACACCCTTCCGGTCAAGCTGATGGGAAAGAGCAACCCCATCACAGTAGTGCCTAAGCCAAAGTTTAACAAAGGTGACTGATTCTTTTTACGTTTTTTTTTTTTTTTTAAGAACCTGTGAGTGCGATAAAACAAAAAATGAGAGACCTGATAAATCGGTGATGTCAAGTGTTCACAGCTATTATAAGGATGGTTGCTCAAGTGTATCCTTGTGGAAAGCACTAAACCTTAGCTCAAAACCAGGTTACTACACTGTGGCCACTGGTAATGGCATTTTTAATTTCAACAAGCTTGTTGATTGGATTTGTTGTTCCTTTTTATGCCTTTTACAGTAAGTTTGAGTTGCCCATGATATTGTAAAATAAGCATGGCAAAAGGGTAGATCAAGTGGTATTTTATTTATTTAGTGTTTTTGTATGTAAAAGCTCTTTTCTTTGTCATGTCATACAGGTTTTTAAAAGTGTGTGCGCGCATTTTCTCATATCTTGGTCCATTTATGTGGAACAGATTACCCATGAAACTAAGACAAATAAGAACACTTGATAGCTTCAAAAGACATCTTAAACATTTTCTGTTCCTACAGGCCTATCCTTCATAAGCTTTTAACGTTCGCTTTCATTATATTTGTTCTTTTCCTATGTCTGGATGAAAATAGTCTCTGTGTGTGTGTGTGTGTGTGTGTGTGTGTGTGTGTGTGTGTGTGTGTGTGTGTGTGTGCATTAATGTATATTGCGTGAGAAGAAAGGAAGTAGTAAGAAAGGTTTTTGAAAAATGGGTATTCCAATGTAAAGCGCATTGAGCTACTTTTTTTGGAAATGCGCTCTATAAATGTTATATATTATTATTATTAACATGTCATCATCAAAACGAAACTCCTTGTTTTTTTAGGTCTAATGTTGACTTCTTATTCATATTAATATAACATACAAAAAGAATTCAGACTACCTTATTTCGATCTAGAACTGATAGGTGGTCATTATTTTGACAGATAATACTTGTAAAAGAAATAAATGTATTTATATAAAGAAGGATGTGCTGTGCTTGTCAATTGTGGACGTGTTGATAAAGCTTTCTTTTGATGTTTTCCATGTGCAGGGCTGACCCCGTACATCTCTAATGAGGTGGGTATGTTTGTTGAGACGATGTATGAAGATGTCAAGGATGACGATCTCAGGAATGCTGTGGCGGGAGCCACCAAGACCAAACTGCACAAGCTCAAACATCGAGGTGTCCGCTCAGCTGACTATGAGAGGGATATAGAAAGGAAGGTGGCGTTTCCGAATGACCGAGCCCAGAGCATTCGGCCATTTGACCGCAAGGAAGGCTATCAGTAAGTAGCTGCTTTGAAAAGTTAGTTTTTGTACTAGGTTACACCTTTTGCAACTTAGTACTGAGTGGAAGGATGAGAATGAGGACAGCAGGTGCTTGATTGCGGAAAACAAAAATTTACCTTTCGGTCCTCCTTTTTTCCAAGAAAAATACTGGCTCATTGTCTGATGTGGTTTGCTTGTTTTCCTTTTTACTTTAGTCCGTTTCTTCTTCTAGGCAAAATGTAGCTGTTATTGCTCCATGGAAACTGCTGTTGATTTCTTCTATTGCATTTTTGTCTTTATCTGTTCAGAACTCTCTTCACTGGCACACACCGGCATAACTATATTGATCCAGACTATGCCTATGATGATATTGACATAGAAAAACGTGTCAAGCACCGATCAGGCTATGTCCAGAATCTACACAGAATGAGGGAACGTCGTCTGTCCAAAAAGCAAAAGAAGTAAGAAACATTTTTTCTCGTTAATTTTGGTCATTTAAAAGTATTTTGTTTGAAATACAAATTTCAAAGGGTTTCTATAGCTTTGCCTGATCCCATTTGTTGTCTTATTGAATATTCTATATTTTCATCTGTGATTTACAATCTTTTTGAACTCATCTACTATTGAATAAGTCATAACATAGAATAAGCAAGGTACATCATTTTTTTTTTCCACAGAAATTTGACCTTTGGTTTTCAATCTTCTTCAATTTATGAAAAACTGAATTTATTTGTTGCTACGTCCAATTATTAAGACCCACCATCTTTCATAGAGGTCTCATTGTGCAAAAAGATGATACATGTTTTTAAAAACTTCCTCTCTACTGCTGTCTTTGATTATCTCTGCTGTAGACTCAAGTTTGTAAATTGTGTAACTGTGTAACTGTGTAACTCCACTTCGATGGTTGAGTGTGGGGGTCTTAACCTTCACTGGTGCCAGTGTGTGGTACATGTATTGTTTGTGATGATAATCGTATGTTTGTAAAAATCGCAGAAACGGTTTCTTGGCTGCTTAATAGACATATAATTTTCTATTTTTATGTGTTTTCTCAATTTCCACTTTTATCAGCTTTAATCCATGTCAGGACATACGTCTGCTCAGGTATATTTTCTTTTTCTTTCTGATTTTCTTTGAATTTCATATTTGTAATGTGTGTTTCCAGGGAGTTCCTGGTAAGCAACAACAGTATGGATATTGGTATCAAAACCGCTGCGGGAATCTTTCCAAAGAAGTTAACACAAGATGAGATCACACCTGACCCAGCCAGTAAGACTTTGTGCTGAAAATTACGAATTATGGGATGTGCTGTTCATCTACATTTGTGTCATAGTGTGTTGGAATCTGGCATTCATAAATTTTAATGCCTTTGAAGTTATTGCTATCAAATCAAAGCTAATTTTACTGAGATTTTGAGTTTGGTAAAAAAGAATGGTTCTATCGTGCATGGGAGTCGATAGATGTACAGTTTGAGAGGCAGGGGTTACCTTCTGTTACAGGTGAAATCAGTGAGAAAATAAACATTAAAGGGGAATACTGGTACTCGTTTTACAAAATAACATATCTTTGGCTTCAAACAATATTTTCCAGTAAAATCCACCCTAAACTGTGTTCTTTCGTGGGTGGAGAAGGTTTCTGCGGAAAATAAAAATTTCAATGAAAATCGCCCAATAGTAACAAAAATACTGATTTCTCCATTTCCTAAAAATTGACAAGCGACCACCAATTCCTCCGCAATGACCCACATTTTGTTTTCCTGAGGGTTTCAGTGTATTAGTAAAGGGATTTTAAAAGTTCAACTTATTTTTCTTTTTTACAAAAAAAACTATTTTTATTGAATGTTTAATCTTTTTTTGGATGAATAATGGGAGCTGTGTTGGATTCTGAAGTTGCCACTTCTTATTTATGTTATTACTAGCTGGGTATCCCGTTCGATGAACGGACTCAAAAGAATCGATAGTCACATCATCGTGGGATAGGTGCATGCACTCCTTGTGAACCAAAGCCTCACTTGTTCACAATGGCGCATCTTAGAATATGGACTTTCCCAAGATTAGATCTAAATGAAACTAATGAAAAACTGAAAATTAAACTACAGTGACTTCAGGCTCCTCAACAAAATTGTGCCCCCTTTAAATGATTCTGAACCACCATTAATTTTGTCAAATTCGAAAGTTAAGTGGCTCGGAAGTTTTAGGTGACCCAAAGTGACGAACATTCGTAAATATAATATATAGAGATTATCGTGCTTGGTGCTCAGAGAAATGTAGTTGTTATTGTGAGGACTTCCATCACCTTCAGTTCAGAATATTTTGTTAACCTTGGTGGAGCGGGGGATCACAAGATAATGCTACAAAGAAATATGCAAGTACTTTGTCTTGCGGAACATAAACAAAAATAAATTTGGGGCTCTTTTGCCCTCATATATTATATGACATTGAGCACCAACAGAACTAAAGCTTCAGAACTTCTTCTCTGCCAGGCCTGCTGTATATTTTCTAAACTGTTGTAACTCAGATAGTCTTGGGCAAAACAGTTCATGGCAATTAGCAACACAACTGTTACAATATTTTAAAAAATTATTACTTCTATACTTTCTGTAGCACAATACAACATATTGCAATCAAAATGGTACTTAATGGCCTCTCTTTGTTAGCTTGCAATGGTACTTTTACTTTTATTTGATAGAAATACTTTTGGCAGTTTAAGAGTTTTAATGACTTCATTTTAACATAAGAAACACAAATGACCTGTGTGACAACTTAAAAAAAAAAAGTTCTTTTGCTGTTGCCTGTTCAATGTGCTCTATGAGTGCTGTCATTATCTTTAAGAAGTTAGTATTCTATAAAAACAATTTTTCAGGCTGACAATCTTTTTTTTTGTTGTCTTTCTAAAGCTCCTCTGCCACCCAATGCTGAGTGGAAACTACTTAGCACTAAAGAACTGGCTGAAGCTGAAAAAGTAGCAGTTTCAAAGGCAAGTACTTCAGTCTATTGTTGTTAAATACAGTTGAATGCCTGTGCAGCTGGTTTTCTGACCATCATTGTTTTAGTTCTGAATTCATTATTATTATTATTACTGTTGTTGTTGTTGTTGTTGTTGTTTTTTTGGGTTTTTTTTACAAATATAAAACAGTTAGGATGCTATCTGATATAAGTGATCAAAGATTGTATATGCAATACCTGTTCAAAAAGTGACCTTTTTTGAGCAACACCTCTTGATATAGCTTATACTGATGAGCACATTTTTTCCTTTCTAACATAAGAGGCATCTTCTCACAGTAAAGAAAGTATCTGATGCCTTTAAAAAAAAATTTGAAAGTGTCGTTTTATTTTAGTATATAATAAATAGCATTTATATAGCGCTCAACCCCAATTAAAGCACACAGGCTCTGAGCGCTTTACAATACAACATATACATATAATCAGTATACTGTGTTCTGGCCAAAAGAAAATCTCTCTCCATTATGTATGTGTGACACTTGAGTTTATGATCCCATTATGTTTATAAGCATATTAGAATTCTTTCAATAGAATAAAGAACTGAACAAAAACCAACTGTTGATATATATTGTTCATCATCACTTAGTCCCCTCATACTTTGCTTTTACCAAGGCTCCCTCCCTCAAATCCCCAAATTTCACATTGTTAGAAATTATTTTTAGAAACAATTGAGAAAAGGTAGAATAGAAAGAATTTAATGTTATTTGTTTTTCTGTTCATTCTTTCTCTCCGGACTGCCCCATTAGGTGTGTGATGGTTTGAGTGCGGTGCCCACCACACTGGAAGAGAAACGTGACTGCAAGAGGTGGCTCACCCCACAGCAACTGCATCAGATCATAGTTGGTGAGGCTAGGTTTCTTATGTACTGTGTGTGCATGTATGTGTTTGTGTATGTTTGAAATCTAAAAACACAAAAGCTTTGGTGTCAGAGCCTGTGCAAAATTTATTTTGATTTAAATGAATATTTGTGGTTGACAGGTCCATGGCTTCTATGTTATCGTACTTTTTATCTTTTACACATTGTTATGTAAATGCAAGAACTAGTTGTATTTTGTGACAAAAAATGTGTACTTTCACCCTCTGAAACAGCTTTGGAGAGTTTAAATGAAAGTGTTTGAACCATGAAGTAAAACTTTTGTGTGTATTATAGTGACTTGTATTCATTCTGTTTTGTGGATGGTTGGTGGGTGCCACTTTTTGGTCCTTCTTTTTTACTTTCCTTCTGCTGTTTCATTTTGTTTTGCTTTTTCTCTCCAGTAAATGACAATTTATGCATCGCTATACTTCTCTTTTACTGAGACTCATTAATTTTTCTTCCTTTTCTAGGTCCACCTACCATCGACTTTGGTCAGATTTGCCTCCGGTCGTGTTGTCAGCGCGAGCTGAATGTGGTCAACAACCTGGACCAGTACATCCACATTGTGGCTGAGGTACAGCACATGTGCCATGTCTCACATTCATCACAACCTTTCTCATCCTGCCTCAGGGTTTAGGCCCTGAACAGAGACACCTTCCACCTTTCCCTATCGCGGGCTAGCCTCTGAATACTATTCCATGTTTTCCCATGTTTCTATTATGGCGACTTTTCAGCTTTGTCCATTGTCTTTCATTAGTCCTGCTGATACAGAGGCTCCTCTATCTCCCAAGATCGAAACAAATTAGATGATGCTTACTTGTAATTTTGTAACTTTAAAAAAAGATTTTACACCATTGGGTAGTTGGCCTTCCACCTACTGGCATTTTTGGGAGACCAAACCTATACACCTTTAGTCACCTCTCACATCACACAGTATTAGGACATGTGTTATTCTTTGCTCCCCAGAGTTATGGAATCCTCCCATCGGCAGGGACAGTCTTACTTTTGCCCAACCCTTATTCTCTTTTCTGTTTTCCTTTAAGCCCTTTCAAAAAAGAATCTGTAAGTGTTTTTATGCCCCCAAAGACACAATTTAGATCATTGAGGAGGGAGGTATAGACCTTGCCTGTCAGGGCCAACTTAAGCTGATAACGATACAACATCTCACCAAAAGACCAAGAAACTTGCTTAAAATTCTCCCCAATCAGGAATTGAATATGTCTCTTGCATATGATGACAAATCTCCTAATTGTTATTCTACTGACGTGCTTTAACTACTATTAAATGACATGGTATCCCTTATTTTCAGATTGACTGCCGTGAACTGAGACAAAGCAGCCCCTTGTCCCAGGTTCTTCCACCAAGGTCCAAGGCTGTCATTCCCATCATATTTGAGTCCAGCACCAGAGGCCGTTTCCAAAGGTGAATCAAATAGATGCTTGTTTTCATTCCGTTTTAACCCTTTAAAAGCCACGTCATTTGCTGTCATTCCCATCATATTTGAGTCCAGCACCAGAGGCCATTTCCAAAGGTGAATAAAAAAGATGCTTGTTTTCATTCCGTTTTAACCCTTTAAAAGCCACGTCATTTGCTGTCATTCCCATCATATTTGAGTCCAGCACCAGAGGCCATTTCCAAAGGTGAATCAAAAAGATGCTTGTTTTCATTCCGTTTTAACCCTTCAAAAGCCACATCTTTGATCTCTTTTTGTTGTCTGGTAACTGGCTCTCCCAAAGTCATGTTTAATGTAAAACAAACTGGCCTGGCACAAATACGGTGAACCCTCTAGCATAGAGAGGGTTAAGATTTTCAATACAGTTTTTCTGGAGAGTGTTTTGAATCAATTTCAATTACTTTTGTGTTACTGTTGCTATCCTGGGATTCTCAGCTTTCAACAGAAAAAAATATCTTAAATGACTGTTTAATTCCTCCAAAAATAGGGTTTCAGATTCAATGAGGATGTTAATCATTCCTGGCTTTGACACAATTAAGGGGATTGTGTATAACTCATACCCATGTATCATTGATGTATACATTGAATGGATTCTACAGGCATTACATGGCTTTCTTGGGCTTTTTTGTGTTGGGATATGAAATACTTTTTGCTGTGAAAATGTATAACTTTGCACTCACAGATGTGTTATGTACACATAACATGAATTTTGCAAATATGGGTGTCTGACTTGGATTGTTTTAGCAGAGATAGATCACTCCTGTCAGTAAAAAGGTCAAAATACTGTCGAAATTGTCCAAGACAGCCACTCATTGTTGTGGGGGAAAAGTGGTTGTCTTAGACAGATGGATGTCTTGGACACTGTAATTATAATGTCTAAAAAATAAAGGGTGAATGTAGGAAGTGGTCGTTTGTGCAGGCGATTGTCTTGGACTGGTGGCTGTTCGAGCAGGTTTGACTGTAATTGTGTGTACCTTGTGACTCGCAGATCTGTGATGTACACCATAAATGGATTCTACAAACATCACGTGACTGTCCTGGCAGAGGTAGTTCCTGTGGCTGTGGAACTGTCGACCACCAGGCTGGTCTTGAAACCTGCACCTGGCATGCCAGTGGAGGCTGGTGAGTGTGTGTATATGTGTTTGTGTGAGTGTGTTCATGTATGTGCCCATATATTTATATGATCGCTTTTAAGGACAAGCGGGCTAACCCAGATTTCGGTGGTTTCCAGAAATTTTGACCTACACCAAAAGTGGGCATTGCTCTACCTATAGGAGAACTTTGGTTTCATTGATGTATATATTTGTTTAGTTAAAGAGAAAACTCTCCTTGTGTCTTTTAAAGAAACTGAACAAGGGGCAAAAACTTTATCTTTGATTTTCTCAAAACAGCATTTTTCGGGATAGCCCCCTGGTGCTTAAAAGCAACCATATATAGTGTCTTCATTGGGTTTTTGTGCATGGGGAATTCATAATTAGCCAAAACGCAAGACGGGAAATTGAAAATGGCTGTATGTACAGGTGGTTGTCTTATACTGGTGGCCGTCTGGGCAGGTTCAACTGTATTTGTGTATGTCTTTTTGATAGGTACTTTTCTCCTTTGTTCCCAATGTTGTTTGATTATCACATTACTATTTCTTTCATTTGTCCAGAGTGATTGAAGTATCTACTAATTTTTTAAAAACAAAAAAAACTTGCAGAAGCTGACTTTGAAACTATTACAGTGCATACATTTTCCAGTTTCTTGTAAACAATAAGTTTCTGTTGCATATCTGACCTTTCATCCCAGGTGATATCTCTGCAGCTTGGAAAATACATTGTTTCAATATTTAATGACTCTGTAAAGAATGAGAGAATGAAATACCAGTGAACCAGTTATAATGTTGCTCCTTTTTTGTTTGTTTTAAAGGTGTCTCAAGTCAGATAAGATTTTCGTATTCTACTTTTATTAAACCTCTCTTGGAACACTTTTAGAAGTAAAATAGTTTGTTGATTGGCACTGTGATTTGATCTACTCCATTTCCTTTTTAGTGTTACTTTTGCTATTGTCCGTTTCTAATTGAATTGCTATAGAAGTACCTATTTGCTTTACATGACAACTCAAGAACTGTACTGGATAATGATATGGATGATATACTTCAAAAACTGAATGTTGTGATCAAGTTTTTATCCCAATAAACCTACAAAAAATGCCTTCTCTGGTTTCCTCCTTTAGGTTTCCGTGGTGTGATCACGCTCAATAACAAACTGAACTACCCCGCCGAGTTCACTTGGTCCCCTGACCTGGGGGAGAAAGGCACAGCTTTCTCTATTCGACCAGCTACAGGTAGGCTGTTGTTGTTGTTGCTGTTGTTGTTGATACTGTTGCTGTTGTTGATGTTGTCGTTGTCATCATTTTTGTTGTCATTGTTGTAATTTTTAATCTGGCAATGGATGGGTTTTTGTTGTGTAATTCATTGTTAAGACTTAGGCTGTGAAATGAAACTTTTATTTAAAATGGGATACTGGTGGTTTTAGGGACGTTTTTGGAAGAGGGGAAGAGGAGGGGGGGGGGGGGGGGGGTTCGAATGTTTACGTTTTCTTAGCTCTTAACCAAAAGGTTCCTCACTCCTTGTTATCAATGTCTGATGTTGTGTCCTGCAGAAAGATGCTCTATATTCTATATACTGCTTGTCTTCGGTCCTCCTTGGTGTGAGTTTGGCATCAGAATTTGCTGCAGGACAAACCTGCCTCAAGGGGGTTCCCATGGTCTAGAGGTTACGGTGTTTGCCTCTCATTCAATAGGTCGGTTTCAAAACCTGACAAGGATGGAAAATATTTTTCTCTGAAATGTTTTCTTTTCACCTCCTTTCCTGCTCTCTAGCCGTGTTTTGTCGTCTGCTTTCATCTCCATTTTCTTCGCTCTCCTTCCCCGTTGTCCCCTCCTCTAGGTATCTCTTCCTGCAGCCTTTCTACTGCTACTGCTTGGCTTCTTCTTATTGCTGTCTTTCAGCCGCACCCCTGATCTTAGGGTAGGTAAGATCTAACACCTAGCCTTCTGGGATAAGGGCAAAAAATCTCGGAGATCCTGTGTCCAAGTTGTGCATGTTAAAGATTCCTTGATGGTACCAAAATTTATAAGAGTATGCTTCAGCCCCTACCCATGCCAAATTCAAAATTAATTCCTACCAGGATGAAAATGTTAAATGTGTCCCGCTTGATCATATGACCTTATGCAGTTGCAAGCGCTGTGAAACACTTACCAAAACAAAAAAAGCCTGCCTCAGTCAACAGCCCTGACAAGTGGATGCTCTAAATAATAGTCTGTCACACTTTAGACTAAAGTTTTTTAAATTAAGGATGTGGTTTGACTTATTGTGCTGCAAAGCCTTCAAAAGACAGGCTTTATTTTAAAGATGATGATGGTGGTTTCTTCAAAATCGTTTCGTGAAATTGTAATGGAAATTTTTACTGGAGCTTCTGATTTGTAGAGTATAGGTACTATATACTATATATATGTTACACAACAGTTTACGGGCATAGCGAAAGAAAAGGTCTCTCACTGGATAGAGTTTTTTGGCGTGTTTGTGAAATTATATAGCGTCATCATAAAGTTAGTCACATTAAATTAAGGTAAAAGTATAGCAGTGATGATTTGTTTTGACGTATGTAGGTTTGTTTAAAAAAATGAGATATCTTATTATATAATGCTCTTCGTTGCTAATTTTTGTCTGAGAACCTAAGGAAGAACCATCCCTTAGGATTTGAATTTTCATCTGTCTTTGTTAGGATATTGATTTGTTTTTACATTATCATTAGAAGGCACTGTTCTATCAGAATAGACTATATTATTGATTGTAGTGTAATTGTCCATTGTTTTTTTTTTATCTTGTGAGGATGGTGTATTTGGTGAACAGGCTGAATCATGGTTGCAGTGAGTGAAAAGATAAAACAAATATTCTGCTCGCTGTTGCGCCTTTTTAATCTTTTTCATATAAAGTTTTGTGATAGCAAATTGTTCGATGTTGCCAGGTGTGGTGGATCCAGGCACAGATCTGGACTGTGAAGTTGTTTGGCATCCTTCTTTCATGGCTCCAGAAGATGGGTCATTCACCCTTCTTGTGAATGGTGGGGAGTCACGCAAGCTCACATGCAGGGCGGAGGTGAGGTCAAAGGGGAGGTATTAGTAAGAGGTTTTTCTCTCTCAGATGGGATCTTTCTGTCTTTGTTCAAAGATGATTTGGCAGTTGTAACTGATCTCTTTAAGGGAAAGACCAGTAAGTTTTAATTTTTGACACTAGTTACAACATTAGCAGTCTACTTTTAGCATAATTTGAATAGGAAGAACGACATATTGTCTCTTTATCAGTGGCTAAAATGTGTAATGATAAGATTGTCTGTATGTTTTATATTGACCTTTTATACTAGAAGCGGTTATTAAAGAGAAATACAATAATTATTTTTGAGGCAATAAGTATTTTACTGATTTTTTCTTTTTACAATAAACAGTAACATAGCATCTACTCTTTGCTGTTGGTCGGCGGTCTGCCATCTTCTTTCACTTCTTTTCTGTGCTGCTACTCTACTAGTCTGTTTGTGAAATGTGGCCATTATGCTGATTTGATATCTGTGTCACAGTGCGGTGGAATCAGGCGCTTGTCAATATTTGGACATGTTGAGTAACTGGCATCATCTTAAAGCTTGTTAATGTATCTTGCTTTTGGGGAAAAAAAGACCCATTCATCTTGAATAGAAGTTGAGGTTTTTTCAACTGAAGGAAGAGGGGGCTGCCTGGTTTCGGGGGTAAAATTAGTGAGAAAATGGCTGCCAAAGTTTTGCGACTTTCATAGCTTGAGAGTCCTTTAAAACTAAAAATTTTCTTTTTTTGTGCTCTAATCAACATTCTTCAACAAAATCTACATTGAAATGTGTTTTTAGATGGGCAATAAAGGTTCTGAGCCTGAAAACAAAAATTTGATAAAAGTATCTAAACTGGTGGAAAAATGCCGATTTCATTCTTTTGACAAGCGCCTGATTTCACCTCGATGTCTCTTTTGAGGTAAACTGCAATTAAACAGCAGTAGCAACAACAGCATCCATTGACCTTTCCTCAGCTGGGATCCACTAATGTCTACTTCCTGGATCAGCGCATCTCATTTGGTGCAGCTCCTGTGAACTTGACCACTGTGGTCAGTGCTATTTTGCACAATGCTGGGAACAACCATGCCTACTTCCAGGTAACGTTTTCTTCTGTGTTACATTGTCTAGCTCATCATTTTCTCTCCATGTCTGTTTTTGATATTGTAAGGTCTCCTTTTCAGAAAAAAAGAAAAAAATGGTTTCCTACTGGTACGACTTTGACTTTTGAAACTGTTGATATATTTATTTTCTAAATTGGATTCAAATGTGAAACATAGATTATACTTCACTGTTCTACCCAAATCTTTGAAATTGTTGCATAATACTGATTATATTGTCATTGCCCTTGTTTTTTAAGGTTCCCCCCACACCTTTTTTTTTGACATCATATTCTATTACTTTCGCCCAGAGAATGGGGCAGCTAATTACGTAGAGAATTCCAGTTGATCATTGCTCAACAAATTTCTAATGGCACAGCCTCCTGTCACTTATTGTGAACAATAAATGTTCATGACTGAGTGAATTTTTCTAATAGCATGTAAAGAAGGGGAAAAAGGAAAAAAAAGATTGGGAAATGGTGTCTCAAAGAGATTCAGATATTGATTATTTAAAAAAAAATTTTTTGTAGAAAAAATAACTAAATCTCATTTGAATGTTTCTGTTCACTGTCTTGATCCGAATTAAATGTTATTGTATATCGTCTTGGCTCAGGATGTGTGTCATGACTGGCCTTTAGTTGTGCACTTTCGAGTTTTATTGAATTTCTTTCAGGTGTCTGATCCAAACCCCTTGCCCGGCCTAACTGTCAGTCCAGTTCATGGTGCTGTGCCAGTAGGGGGAAGCACTGAGATCCGTGTGGCCTTGACCCCGGACTCGATCATGAAGTTTGACACAAGGGTGCAAGTGGCCATCAAGGGAGGCAAGACATTGGAGCTAAGGATCGGAGGAACGGTGGAGGGTCCTGACGTCAGTATTGATGTGGTAAGTATGAGGTAGTGTGTAATTGTCAAATTATATCAGTGAACAGTGATGTGAGAATTTCTTTTAAAAGACTTAAGTGTTCAGATTGACCATGTTAACTTTAGGGCACTGAACAGTTATGATCATCAGTGGTATGTACTTGTTATTCATTGTGTTGTGTTGCAAGGTATTGTCTATTTTGACTAGTATAGTATACACCCTTTTGAACCAAGCAAGGATGAACAAAGTAATCATTTTTTTTTTCTTTCATTTTTATAACTTCATTGGTAACACATTGTGCATTCGGGTTGATTATTCAAGTTTGTGTCTTTAAAAAAAAGTAATATCATGTAGAAAGTGTTTCTAGTTATTGACTCTGTCCTGTTGGATAAAAACATTAGTTTACAGGACCCATGTTTTAAATAATCAAGACATTGTTACAAGTATTGTGGGGTGGGGGG